GTATTAAACTGGGTGAGGATGAGTTTATGAAAATTTTTCACAATAGCTGGTACTTCATCCTTGGATTTCATGAGATAAATCCAAGTGTAACGTGAGTAATCATCAATGAAAAGGATAAAATACCTGTAACCCCCCATGGTTGGCATGTGATATGGCCCCCACACTTCCGAGTGAACAATATGGAAAGGAGAAAATGATCTTTTATTGCTAATTGAATAGGACTGTCTACAATGCTTTGCCAGCTCACATGATTCACAATGAAGACTTGATAAAGACATTCATTTTCCAACTTTGATACCATGTAAAGAGACTGGGCCAAAGCAAGATAGTTCGTCCCATCTAGCTTAATTGTGGTAACACCTGTCAAAACGAAATCTACTGGAGCAGGTCCAGAAGCTGGCACCTGCTTGAACTCACTTTCGTATGTCTCCATTAATCAAACGAAAATCAAAGAACAGAAAATTTTGACTATGTAAACTTACTTGAAGTCAAACCAGAACTTGGGTGCTTGAAAAACTAGGGTTTTGCTCCGTCCAGCAAATGGGCGGGAGAGAGAAGACACTGCCGCACCTACCAGAGTAACCCAAACTCTTCCAAACCCGAACCGCCCTCCTTTAGTAGTCACAAGACACCTTCCAAGCACAGAGCGCCACACCCAAGCTTCACCTTTCCTGGTAACTCGAAAATCTCCAGTCGGCTAGGGTTTTGGGCAGCAGCAAAACAGCATCACTTCTTGGCAAAATCTGGTCAGAACTAAACTCTCCAAACCCTTCTATAGAGAACCTATCTCTCCATACACTCTCTTGATTTTAGAGTGTACAGGAATAAAGAAAAAAAAGAAGAAAGAGGAACTGAACCCGCTTTGATACCAAGATGTAAATCAGTCCTCTAATATCAAGATTAAATTTAGTGATTAGCAGAATAGAACAGATCTGAATAACTGTACAAGAGAGGAAGATGGCGAAGAGAAGAAGAAGTCGAATTAATCACCCTTCTCCTCTAACCCTATTTTTTGTTAATGTCTAAAAAATTGATGATGACAAGTATACCCATAAGTGGGCGGCCAGCTTGGCAGTTACATAAAGAAAGTAAAATAAGAACAAATAACAGGCCCTTTAAGTGAGGCCCATCAACATAAAATAAAAGGTAAAATAAAGGATTTCACATGAGAGATTGTTAGGGCCCATTCGGTCCAGTCTCTTTACATTCTGGACTTGTTTTATATAGTAATTTCCATAATTGCTATTCAATAATAAACTCACAATTTACTGTTTTTAGTACTTTCTTGTGCCTTTACATTCAAATAATTTTAGTAACATAAAGAAAGTGTTATTATAGTTTTAGAGACTTAAGAGTCCTTAGTTTTAAAGCAACTATAAGTTGATTTGGATCAGTTTCTTAGTCTAGATTGGAGTCTGTAAAGGGAAATAAGGTTTAGTTTAGTGAGCTATGGTTGTTACCAGAAAATTTTCTCTTTATTATTTAATTTTTTCTCTTTCTAAGTTCTTGCTCAGACTTTGGTGGACAGCAAGCTGTAAACTTGCTTCCTCTTCCCTATTCTTCACTAAATCACCCAGAGCCCCTTGACCGCACAAAGCCCACTGCCCACCACAAGATCTGAAGTTTGTAGGGCCCTACCTTGTCCTTTTTTCACATAAGTATATTTTTATTATGTCTTTATAACACTGCTGCTCAGCAGAGAAAGCAATAAGAATAATTTTTTGGGTAAATTATTTATACCTCTCTAGGGGTTTCCATAAAATGCTTATACCATCCCTTGGGTTTTCCTAAGAAGTTGTACCCCTTTATGACCATGAAACTACATGGATTTGTTAATGGAAGCAGAATTAAGATTTTTTTTTTTGGGAAAAAGATAAAGTAATTTTATTCAATGAGAAAGCCAAATACAACAAGAGTCAGACCAACTAGGCCTTCCTGAGCCCACAACATATTACAAGAACATCCATGATTTAGTACAAAGAAGGAGATAAACATTCTGACTTTTAAACTCCTCATTCACCGACACCCAGGAGCAAATCTTCCCCACCACTTTCTGCACAATCTCATCTGGACTTTTAGATTGATTACAGAAAATTCTATTGTTTCTTTCCATCCAAATGGACCAAAGAACAGCCTGCGGAATATTATTCCAAACAAGCCTGCCTTTCTTGCTAAGACCCTCCAATCTTCAACTCATAAACGGCTCCTTCACAGACTTAGGCATAGCCCAACACACCTCTAATTTCTTGAAGAAATGTCCCCAGATTGAAGAGGAGATCGGACAGTGAATGCACAGATGATCTATAGATTCAGCACCCATGCCGCATAAAACACAGGAGGGATCAGGAATCTGAATACCCCTTCTCTCCAAGTTGACCCTAGTTAGACATTTATTCAAAACCATTGTCCAAACCAGGAAGTTAACCTTGGAGGGACAGGTGGGGTTCCAAATCTGCCCATCCGGGAAGTTCTCCTGACCTGAGCTGCACATCTTAAGGAA